AACAGCGACAACGCTGACAACAGTGACAACAGTGACAACGGTGACAACAGTGACGACGGTGACAAGGGTTAAAACAGTGACAACTGAGACAACAGCGACAACGGTGACAACAGTGACAACACTGACAACAGCAGAAACAACGGTGACAATGGTGACAACAATGACGACTGTGACAACAGCTACAGCAGTGACAAAAGTAACATCGGAAACAACAGTGACAACATTGACAACACTGAAAACAGCGACAACAGCAACAACTTTGACAACAACGACAACAGCGACTAAGGTGACAACAGTAACAACAGCGAGAACAGCGACAACAGTGATGTTGGCGACAACAGCGACAACGGTGACAACAGTGACAACAGCCACAACGGTGCCAACAGTGACAACGGTGACAACAGTGACTACGCTAACAACCGTGACAACAGTGACAACTGTGACAGCAGTGAAAACAATGACAACAGTGAGAATGGTGACAACAGCGGCAACAGAGATGATAGTGACAAGTGACAACAGTGACAATGGTGACCACAGTGACAACAGCGACAACAGCGACAATAGTGACAACACTGACAACAGCGACAACAGTGAGAACAGTGACGACAGTGACCACAGTGACAACGGTGACAACAGCGACAATGGTGACATCACTGACAACAGCGACAACGGTGACAACAGAGACGACGGTGACAACCGTGACAACGGTGACAACAGTGACAAAAGCGACAAGCGTGACAGCACTGACAACGGTGACAACGCTGGCAATGGTGACAACAGAAACAACAGTGACAACGGTGACAACAGTGACAACAGCGACAATGGTGACAACGGTACAACACTGAAAACGGTGACAACGGTGACAACAAGGAGGACGGTGTGACAATACTGACAACAGTGACAACAGCGACAATGGTAACAACACTGACAACGGTGACAACAGCGACAACAGGGAGAACGGTGACAACAGTCACAACAGCGACCATGGTGACACGGTAACAACAGTGAAAACAATGACAACATTGACAACACTGACAAGGGTGACAATTGTGACAACGGTGACAACAGTGACAACGGTGCAAACAGTGACAATGGTGACAACAGCGACAATGGTAACAACACTGACAACAGCGACAACCGTGTCAACAGTGACGACGGTGACAACAGTGACAACAGTGACAACGGTGAGAACAGGGACAACAGCCACAATGGTAGCAGTAAAAACAATGACAACAGTGAGAATGGTGACAACAGCGGCAACAGCGACGACAGTGACAAGTGACAACAGTGACAATGGTGACCACAGTGACGACGGTGACAACAGTGACAAGGGTGACAACGGTGACAACATTGAAAACGGTGAAAACAGTGACGACGGTAACAACGGTGACAACAGTGACTACAGTAACAGCTCTGACAACGGTGACAATGGTGACAACGGTGACAGCAGTAAGAAGAGGGTCAACGGTGACAATAGCGACAAGGGTGAAAACAGTGACAACAGCGAAAATGGTGACAAGAGGGACGAAGGTGACAACCGTGACAACAGTAACAACAGTGACAACTGTCACAACAGTGAAAACAGTGACAACAGCGACAACAGCGACAACAGCGACAAGGGTGACAACACCGACAACGGTGACAATTGTGACAACAGAAACAACAGTGACAACGGTGACAACAGTGACAACAGCGACAATGGTGACAACGGTACAACACTGAAAACGGTGACAACAAGGACGACGGTGTCAGCTGTGACAATAGTGACAACAGTGACAACAGTGACAACAGCGACAATGGTGACAACACTGACAACGGTGACAACAGCGACAACAGGGAGAACGGTGACAACAGTGACAACAGCGACCATGGTGATACGGTAACAACAGTGAAAACAGTGACAACATTGACAACACTGACAAGGGTGACAACTTTGACAACAGTGACAACGGTGCAAACAGTGACAATGGTGACAACAGCGACAATGGTGACAACAGCGACAACGGTGACAATGGTGACAACAGGAACAACGGTGACAAAAGTGACAACAGCAACACTGGTGACAACAGTGACAACGGTGACAACATTGACAACACTGACAACGGTGAGAACCATGACAACAGTGACAACGGTGACAACCGTGACAATAGTGACAACGGTGACAACAGGGACGACGGTGACAACAGGGAGACGGTGACAAACGTGACAACAGTGACGACATTGACAACGGTGACAACAGCGACTATGGTGACAACACTGACAACAGCGATAACGGTGTCAACAGTGACAACGGTGACAACAGTGACAACAGCCACAATGGTGACAACAGTAACAACGGTGACAACGGTGACAACATTTAAAACGGTGAGAGCAGTGACGACGGTAACAACGGTGACAACAGTGACTATAGTAACAGCCGTAACAATGGTGACGATGGTGACAACGGTGACAGCAATAAGAAGAGAGTCAACGGTGACAATAGTGACAATGATGACAACCGTGACAACGGTGACAACCGTAACAACGGTGACAACACTGACAACAGCGACAACGGTTACAACAGTGACGACGGTGACAACTGTGACAACCGTAACAACAACAACAACGGTAGCCACAGCAGCAATAATGACAACAGCGACAACAGTGACAACAGTGACAACGAGCGACAATAATGGCAACACTGAAAACAGCAACAATGGTGACAATGGGGAAAACAGGGACAACGGTGACAACAGCGACAATGGTGACAAGAGTGACAATGTTGACAACAGTGACGACGGTGACAACTGTGACAAAAGTGACAACGGTGACAATGGTGACAACAGCGACAACAATGACAACAGTGACGATGGTGACAACCGTGACAACAGTGACAACGGTGACAACAGGGACGACGGTGACAAACGTGCCAACGGTGACGACATTGACAACAGTGACAACAGCGACTATGGTGACAACACTGACAACAGCGACAACGGTGTCAACAGTGACGACGGTGACAACAGTGACAACTCTGACAACGGTGACAACACTGACAACAGTGACAACGGTGACAACAGTGACAACAGCCACAATGGTGACAACAGTAACAACGGTGACAACATTTAAAACGGTGACAGCAGTGACGACGGTAACAACGGTGACAACAGTGACTACAGTAACAGCTGTGACAACGGTAACAATGGTGACAACGGTGACAATAGTGACAATGGTGACAACCGTGACAACGGTGACAACCGTAAGAATGGTGACAACGGTGACAACGGTGACAACGGTGACAACACTGACAACAGCGACAACGGTTAAAACAGTGACGACGCTGAAAAGTGTGACAACAGTCACAACGGTGACAACTGTGATAACGGTGACAACAGTGACAACAGCGACAACGGTGACAATAGCAACAACAGTGACAACAAAAACAATGGTGATAACACCAACAACAGTGACAACCATGACAACAGCGACTACAGTGACAACGGTGACAAACGCAACAACAGCGACAATGGTGACAACAGAGACAACAGTGATAACGGTGACAACAGCGACAACGGTGACAACAGTGACAACGGTGGCAACAGTGACAACGGTGACAAAAGTGACAAGGATTAAAACAGTGACAATGATGAGAAAAGCGACAACGGTGACAACACTGACAACAGTAGAAACAATGGTGACAACAGTGACGACTGTGACAACAGTGACAACAGCGACAACAGTGAGAAAAGTAACATCGGAAGCAACAGTGAAAACAGTGACAACATTGAAAACACTGAAAACAGCGACAACAGTGACAACAGCAACAACTTTGACAACAACGACAACAGTGACAACACGGACAACGGTGAAAACGGTGACAACTGTGACAACAGTGAAGATGGTGACAACAGAGACGACGGTGACAACTGTGACAACTAGCGACAATAATGGCAACACTGACAATAGCAACAACGGTGACAATGGGGAAAACAGGGACAACGGTGACAACAGTGAGAACAGTGACAATGTTGACAACAGTGACAACGGTGACAACTGTGACAAAAGTGACAACGGTGACAATGGTGACAACAGCCACAATGGTGACAACACTGACAACAGGGACAACAATGACAACAGTGATGACGGTGACAACCGTGACAACAGTGACAACGGTGACAACAGGGACGACTGTGACAAACGTGACATCGGTGACGACATTCACAACGGTGACAACACTGACAGCAGCGACAACGCTGTCAACAGTGACAACGGTGACAACAGTGACAACTGTGACAACGGTGACAACAGTGACAACAGCCACAATGGTGACAACAGTAACAACGGTGACAACGGTGACAACATTTAAAACGGTGAGAGCAGTGACGACGGTAACAACGGTGACAACAGTGACTATAGTAACAGCCGTAACAATGGTGACAATGGTGACAACGGTGACAGCAATAAGAAGAGAGTCAACGGTGACAATAGTGACAATGATGACAACCGTGACAACGGTGACAACTGTAACAACGGTGACAACACTGACAACAGCGACAACGGTTAAAACAGTGACGACGGTGACAACTGTGACAACCGTAACAACAACAACAACGGTAACCACAGCAGCAATAATGACAACAGCGACAACAGTGACAACAGCGACAACAGTGACAACAAAAACAATGGTGATAACACCAACAACAGTGACAACCATGACATCAGCGACTACAGTGACAACGGTGACAAACGCAACAACAGCGACAATGGTGACAACACAGACAACAGTGATAACGGTGACAACAGCGACAACGGTGACAACAGTGACAACAGTGACAACGGTGCAACAGTCACGACGGTGACAAAAGTGACAAGGGTTAAAACAGTGACAACGATGACAAAAGCGACAACGGTGACAACACTGACAACAGCAGAAACAACGGAGACAATGGTGGCAAGAGTGACGACTGTGACAACAGTGACAACAGAGACAACAGTGAGAAAAGTAACATCGGAAACAACAGTGACAACATTGACAACACTGAAAACAGCGACAACAGTGGCAACAGCAACAACTTTGACAACAACCAGAACAGTGACAACGGTGAAAACGGTGACAACTGTGACAACAGTGAAGATGGTGACGACAGTGACAACTGTGACAACGGTGACAACAGTGACAACGGTGCAAACAGTGACAATGGTGACAACAACGACAATGGTGACAACACTGACAACAGGGACAACAGTGACAATGGTGACAACAGGAACAACGGTGACAAAAGTGACAACAGCGACAATGGTGACAACGGTGACAATTGTGATGATGGTGATAACCGTGACAACCGTGACAACCGTAACAACGGTTACAACCGTGACAACGGTGACAACACTGACAACTGCAACAACGGCTAAAACAGTGACAACGGTGACAACTGTGACAACAGTGACAACGGTGACAACAGTGACGACAGTGGCAACCGGGACAACGGTGACAACAGTGACAACGCTGCAAACAGTAACAATGGTGACAACAACGACAATGGTGACAACACTGACAAAAGGAACAACGGTGACAATAGTGACAACAGGAACAACGGTGACAAAAGTGACAACAGCGAAAATGGTGACAACAGTGACGACGGTGACAACGGTGATAATAGTGACAATGGTGGCAAAGGTGACAATGGTGACAACGGTGACAACTGTGAAAACAGTGACAACGGTGACAAGGGTGACAACAGCGACAATGGTGACAACAGGTTCAACGGTGACAATGGTAACAACAGCGACAACGGTAACAATGGTGACAACAGTGACGACGGTGACAACGGTGACAATGGTGACAAAGGTGACAACTGTGACAACAGTGACAACAGTGACAACGGTGACAACAGTGACGACAGTGGCAACCGTGACAACGGTGACAACAGTGACAACGCTGCAAACAGTGACAATGGTGACAACAACGACAATGGTGACAACACTGATAAAAGAAACAACGGTGACAATAGGGACAACAGCAACAACGGTGACAAAAGTGACAACAGCGACAATGGTGACAACAGTGACGTTGGTGACAACAGTGACAATGGTGACAAAGGTGACAATAGTGACAACGGTGACAACTTTGAAAACAGTGACAACAGTGACAACAGCGACAATGGTGACAACAGTTTCAACGGTGACAATAGGGACTTTAAGATACAACGACGCGGACGTGACGAAAGCCGACCGGAAGTAAAAATACCCAAAATGACTACCACTGCGCATGATGGTGACGTAAACAAGCCGCGTCCTTGCTCAAGACGAACGCGCTGAAGACCATTTTGACGTTGTTGACAAACTGTAAGTATTTCAACCTATTTTGACTTATTTAAGACAGTGAATTGGCACTTTTTGTTTGTATATCGAAAGCTTAATTATCCCGGCTATATTCCTCACGTTTTTTTTTTGTTGTTGTTTCCTTTCAGGCTCAGTTGAACTTGCGAACAGTAAACACAAGAAACATCAGTTGCCATGGCCTCGAATTCCAAACCGCAGTGAGTAGATTTTTGCATTCTTCGTTCAGTGAATTACGGCTAAAGAAACAAAACGATTTGTTGTATAAAAGCAATGTTGTTCCCGATTATTTCCTTCTTGTCGAAGATTTTCCCATCCTGATTAAATTTATTCACAGATCTTGGTTACTCGCATTACGCTTCATTTTGCGGGAATTTAATTCACGCACTATTTCCCGCAGAAGTTGTGTGAGATTTTAAAGAAAAGACAACAAAACAAATTAACAGAAACATGTAAAGGACTATGTTTGCCAAATAAGTGCCTCTGACGGCAAAATGTTTGCTTTATTAAGCAGTTCCTACAGAGTAGCGGGTTTATAACTTTACACACACTTGGCTTGGCCAGCCGACGTCCAAGACTTTGCCGCTGTAAACGATAGATTCAAATTATTTTCTAAAAGTGATTTCCGCATATAGTACAACATTCAAGGTTTGCTTTAATTTTCTTGTAGCTGTGCACGTATATTAAAAAATGTATATGTCGCTTATTTTTGTCGGCAGGATTATGAACTGGACGGAGGAACATGATGTGGTTTTTTGCCGAGAAATAATCTTTGTAAACCCATTCAGTGCAAAGAAGAAATCCGTTCAGCGAAGTGCCTTGTGGCAAAGAGTGGCGGATACCCTAAACAGCATTAAAGATCCTGTTTTTTTTGTGGATAAACGCTCAGTTCGAGACCATATCGGGGTTTTGGTGCAAAGATTTAAAAGAAAAGAGGCCAAGGAATTGAAGGAAAGTGGTATAAGCCCTACGAAAACTGAATTAGATGAAGCTATAGAACAAATTATTGCCATGGAAGAGTCTGCCGATGAGCAGCACGACCTGGAAGACGGCGAAAAGAGGGACAAGATGGAAGGAGACAGGCTGAAAGCAGAAGAGATGCGCAGAACTGCTATGGAGACATTAGGGAAAACACAGAAGAGAAAGTCCGAGGAGGGGCAGAGCAAAGCGAAAAAAAGCAGAAGAAGTGGTAGTGAAACGGTAGAGTTTCTTAAACTAAAGGCGGAGCAAGACATGGATATTAAGAAGCAAGAATTGGATTTGAGAAAACAGGAGCAAGAGAAGATGGCTATAGCCCAAAATCAGCAAACTTATATGTTCAACCAAATGTTAAAACAACAACAGGAACAGCATAAACAAATGCATGACATGCAATCCTTACTAATGCAGCAGCAGCAGCTGCAAACCACAGCAATGATGAAGATTATTGAAACACTAGTTCCGAAATAAACAAACTCGGTTTTTTTTTTAATTCCTTGCGGTGCTTCAGGTCTCGGTTTACTTTGTTGTTATATAAACTTGAACTAAGTTGGCCTGGACTTCAATCCGGCGAAAGACAATCAGAACTGTAACCGTGTTAGATGTTTAATGACTGGAGTTTGGACTTTATTTCCACGTGTTTAGAAGGTTAAAAATTTACATTTTTCATGACTGGATTTAAATTGATGCTGACAGCCATAATAAAGCCAAGTTATTCGTTGTGTTTAATTTTATTTGACATTGATTTACTTTTCTTGGTATCTTCCCATATAAACGCAGAACAGTTTTTAGGTCTTATGTTGGGTGGTTACAAAACAGCATGATTAGGAAAAATAATGCTCTAGAGAAGGTGGATCTAGGTCAAAAAACTGGGATGTTGAATTACCGTACAAGCATGTTAAAACATTTTGAAGGATTGCACAGACAATGTACATTTTGCCTACTTGGCTTAGCCCTATTTTTAAATTCCGTTTGAAATCAAGAAATTTGAAATAATTTAAAATATCAGAAAAAAGCCATTCAACGGAACAGCGAACTGCACTCATGGAACTGTTGTAAGCTTGCTGTTGGGGAGTCAGTATTCGCTGCCGGAAAGGTCCCTGGAGATGCATTCGAAGGGGATATGCTGGATCCCCGTATATACACATCGGTTGGCCAGTTGTTGAGACAGCATGCGCCCTGAGACTGTTGTAAAGGCCAGACTCTGCCAACATTGCTGCGTCATGCCTCCTACCTTCTGTTTAGACAAGATAAGAAACTTAAGTTAATAAATAGAAATCAGTGTTGATATGTTATCCATGCAGTTTACTTCTTTACTGACAGAGAGTGGCAAGAGAAAATGGGCCGGTGGGGGTGAGGGTGAGGGTGGTCAATGGAAAAGCCCGTGAAATTCGAATTTGCTTTTCTCACAATTGTTTTAACCCTTCTTCTTATAATAAGCATAGTAATTGGGAGGAGACTTAAGAAAGAGTAAGTAATGAAAGCAATTTTAGATCTTCCTAGTAGGTTTGTTTGTAGGGTAACTGAAGTGGAGGCTTGCAAGCTAAAATATTATTTTTAGTTTGTTAGCAGCGTGGCTTACCAACTGGACCATACAAGTGTGCAATTAACCCATTCGGTAGGACCAAGGACTGAAACTTTAATCCATGTACGCGTTTGTGACCGTTGTAGAGTAGTCGCTGGTTTTCCCCAGGTCGAGTAATTGGGCGCACGGTTCCATCTACGAAACCAAAGCAATTGCTTAGTGGCGCACCTTTGTTGAAAACAACTTCCGCATACTTTTCCAGCTCCAGTGGATTTAAAATGGTTTGGTTCCACTGCGTGATTCTGTGGCTATGATGCGCATAAATCCAGTCTGTTACGGTGTTGCTTATCATACAAAGTTCTGGAACCGGTCGTCCAAAAATAGGTATCATGTCGGAGTACCGACAAGGAAAGGCATATCGCTTTAAAAGCATACAAAGCCCTTCTGTTCCTTCGCAAACCGTTCCCTGGTCGCATACGAAGAATTGCGGAATTTGAAGAACATCTTCTACCAGAGGAATGTGGTGCTTTTCAACCCTGAAGTTCGCCCTACACTCAGCTTCACTTTGGCTCTCCAGATTGAACGGCGGGTAGTTGTCGTAAGGGAAATCTAAGTTGCTTGAACTGTTTTCTTCGAAAAGTAAAGAAAATTCCTCATCCGTAATGATACCACAGGCATAGCTAGCAAGCAAAACTTCTCGGGTTTCTTTAAAAGTCGCCATTTGCACTAAAAACACTAATATAATTAGTATCTGTTACTTCGGAGAGAAAAACAAATTCGCTACTTTTCTTTTCTATCAATAAGTGGCCGCGTCGCTGAATCCCGCCATCTTAACTTATTTTTCCCGCCACAAACACGGCGTCCTCGACACAGGCTCCACGCGGCTACGGCGTCTTTGATGACGTCCGCGTTCTTGTATCTTAAAGTCCCTAATGGTAACAACAGCGACAACGGTGACAATGGTGACAACAGTGACGACGGTGAAAACGGTGACAATAGTGACAATGGTAACAAAGGTAACAACTGTGACAACAGTGACAACGGTGACAATGGTGACAACAGCGACAATGGTGACAACAGTGACAACGGTGAGAATGGTGAGAACAGCGACAACGGTGACAACAGTGACAGTAGCGACAATGGTGACAACAGCGACAACGGTGTCAAGAGTGACAACGGTGACAACAGTGGCAACTGTGAAAACAGTGACAGCGGTGACAACGGTGTCAAAAGTGACGACGGTGACTACGGTGTCAAAAGTGACGATGGTGACAATGGTGGTAAACCAACAGCAGTGACAACGGTGACAACGATGACAACACTGACAATGGTGACAACAGAAACAACGGTGACAAAATTGAAAACAGCGACAATGGTGACAACAGTGACAACGGTGACAACATTGACAACAGTGACAACGGTGACAACAGTGACAACAGCGACTATGGTGACAACGGTAACAACAGTGAAAACGGTGACATTAACAACACTGACACCGGTGACAACAGTGCAATAGTGACAACAAGGACAACAGTGACAAGCATGACAACTGTGACAACAGTGACAACAGTGACAACGGTGACAACAGGGACAACGGTGACAACAGCGACAACGGTGACAACAGGGAAAATGGTGACACCAGTGACAAGACGAACAACAGTGACAACAGTGACAATGGTGACAACGGTGAGAACGGTGACAACTGTGACGACAGTGACAACGGTGAGAAAAGGGACGACGCTGACAACCGTGACAACAGGGAGAACGGTGACAACAGCGACAATGGTGACAACACTGACAACAGCGACAATAGTGACAACACTGACAACAGCGACAACAGTGACAATGGTAGTAAACCAACAACAGTAACAACCATGAGAACAGCGACTTCAGTGACAACCGTCACAACCGCAACAATAGCAACAATGGTGACAACAGAGATATCAGTGACAACGATGACAATAATGACGACGATGACAACGGTGTCAACAGTGAAAATAGTAAAAACGGTGACGACGGTAACAACCGTGACAACAGTGACAACGGTCAGAACCGTGAATACACTGACAACAGTGAAAACTGTGACAAAAGAGACAACGGTGACAACACTGACAATGGTGACAACCATGACAACAGTGACAACGGTGACACCAGTGGCAATGGTGACAACAGCGACAACGGTGAGAACAGTGACGGCGGTGACCACGGTGACAATGGTGACAATACTGACAACAGCGACAACGGTGACAACAGTGACGACAGTGACAACTGTGACAAGAGTGACAACGGTGACAACGGTGACAATGGTAACAACTGTGACAAAAGTGATAATGGTGACAACGGTGACAAGAGTGACAACATTGACAACCATCACAATGGTGACAACAGTGACAACAATGACAGCAGCGACAACAGTGACAACGGTGAAAACATTGACCACACTGGTAAGAACGACAACGGTGACAACACTCACAATGGTGGTAACTGTGACAACAGTGACAACGGTGACAACAGTGATGACGGTGGCAACCGCGACAATGGTGACAACAGTGACAACGGTGAGAATAGTGAACTGTGACAACAGTGACAAGGTGACAACAGTGAAAACGGTGATAACAGCGACAATGGTGACAACACTGACAACAGCGACAACGGTGACAACAGGGACAACAGTGACAACAGTGAAAACAGCCACAATGGTGACAACAGGGACAATGGTGACAACATTGAAAACAGTGACAACAGTGACGATGGTCACAATGGTGACAACACTGACAACCGTTACAACCGTCACAACGGTGACAATGGTGACAACGGTGACAGCAGCGACAACAGTGACAATGGTGACACCAGGAACAACGGTGACAACAGTGACAACGGTGACAACAGTGACAACAGTAACAACGGTGACAATGGTGGTAAACCAACAACAGTGACAACGATGACAACACTGACAATGGTGACAACAGAAACAACGGTGACAACGGTGACAAAATTGAAAACAGCGACAATGGTGACAACAGTGACAACGGTGACAACATTGACAACACTGACAACAGTGACAATAGTAAAAACGGTGACGACGGTAACGACCGTGACAACAGTGACAACAGTGAGAACCATGAATACAGTGACAACAGTGAAAACTGTGACAACAGAGACAACGGTGACAACACTGACAACGGTGACAACCATGACAACAGTGAAAACGGTGACACCAGTGGCAATGGTGACAACAGCGACAACGGTGAGAACAGTGACGACGGTGACCACGGTGACAATGGTGACAACAGCGACAATGGTGACAATACTGACAACAGCGACAACGGTGACAACAGTGACGACGGTGACAACCGTGACAAGAGTGACAACGGTGACAATGGTAACAACTGTGAGAAAAGTGACAATGGTGACAACACAGATGACGGTGACAACGGTGACAAGAGTGACAACATTGACAACCATCACAAGGGTGACAACAGTGATAACAATGACAGCAGCGACAACAGTGACAACGGTGAAAACATTGACCACACTGATAACAGCGACAACGGTGACAACACTGACAATGGTGGTAACTGTGACAACAGTGACAACGGTGACAACAGTGATGACGGTGGCAACCGCGACAATGGTGACAACAGTGACAACGGTGAGAATAGTGACAACTGTGACAACAGTGACAACAGTGACAACGTGACAACAGTGACAACGGTGATAACAGCGACAATGGTGACAACACTGACAACAGCGACAACGGTGACAACAGGGACAACAGTGACAACAGTGAAAACAGCCACAATGGTGACAACAGTGACAATGGTGACAACATTGAAAACAGTGACAACAGTGACGACGGTCACAATGGTGACAACACTGACAACCGTAACAGCCGTGACAACGGTGACAATGGTGACAACGGTGACAGCAGCGACAACAGTGACAATGGTGACAACAGTGACGGCGGTGACAACCGTGATAACAAAGACAACGGTGACAACAGTGACAACAGTAACAACGGTGACAACAGTGACGACGGTGGCAACTGCCACAAGCGTGACAACGGTGACAACAGTGATAAGGATGACAACAGCGACAATGGTGACAACACTGACAACAACGTCAACTGTGACAATGGTGACAACAGGGACAACGGTGACAACAGCGACAATGGTGACAACACTGACAACAGTGACAACGGTGTCAACAGTGACGACGGTGACAACCGTGACAACAGCAACAACGATGACAATGGTGACAACAGGAACAATGGTGACAACGGTGACAAAAGAGACAACAGCGACAATGGTGACAACAGTCACAAAAGTGACAACGGTGACAACCTTGACAATACTGACAACGGTGACAACCGTGACAACAGTGACGACGGTGTCAATAGTGACAATAGTGACAATGGTGACAATGGTGACAACAGTGAAAATGGTGAGAACAGTGACCACGGTGACCACGGTGACAATGGTGACAACAGCGAGAATGGTGACAACACTGACAACAGCGACAACGGTTACAACAGTGACGACGGTGACAACCGTGACAACAGTGACAACGGTGACAATGGTAACAACTGTGACAGAAGTGACAATGGGGACCACAGACGACGGTGACAACAGTGACAACATTGACAACCATCACAACGGTGACAACAGTGACAACAATGACAACAGTGACAACAGTGACAACGGTGAAAACATTGACCACACTGATAACAGCGACAACGGTGACAACAGTGACAATAGTGGTAACCGTGACAACGGTGACAACAGTGATGACGGTGGCAACCGCGACAATGGTGGCAACAGTGAAAATAGTGACAACTGTGACAATAGTGACAACAGTGACAATTTGTCAACAGTGACAATGGTGACAACAGCGACAATGGTGACAACACTGACAACAGCGACAACGGTGATAACAGGGACAACAGTGACAACAGTAAAAACAGCCACAATGGTGACAACAGTGACAACGGTGACAACAGTGACAACAGTGGCAACCGTGACAACGGTGACAACAGTGACAACGCTGCAAAAAGTGACAATGGTGACAACAACGACAATGGTGACAACACTGACAAAAGGAACAACGGTAACAATAGTGACAACAGGATCAACGGTGACAAAAGTGACAACAGCGACAATGGTGACAACAGTCACGACGGTGACAACGGTGACAATAGTGACAATGGTGACAAAGGTGACAATGGTGACAACGGTGACAACTGTGAAAACAGTGACAACGGTGACAACGGTGACAACAGCGACAATGGTGACAACAGTTTCAACGGTGACAATGATAACAACAGCGACAACGGTGACAATGGTGACAACAGTGACGACGGTGACAACGGTGACAATAGTGACAATGGTGACAAAGGTGACAACTGTGACAACAGTGACAACGGTGACAACGGTGACAACAGCGACAACGGTGACAACAGTGACAACAGTGACAACGGTGAGAATGGTGAGAACAGCGACAACGGTGACAAGTGACAATAGCGACAATGGTGACAACAGCGAAAACGGTGTCAAAAGTGACAACGGTGAGAACAGTGACAACTGTGAAAACAGTGAAAACGGTGACAACTGTGTCAAAAGTGACGACGGTGACAACGGTGTCAAAAGTGACGACGGTGACAATGGTGGTAAACCAACAACAGTGACAACGGTGACAACGGTGACAACACTGACAATGGTGACAACAGAAACAACGGTGACAACGGTGACAAAATTGAAAACAGCGACAATGGTGACAACAGTGACAACGGTGACAACATTGACAACACTGACAACAGTGACAATAGTAAAAACGGTGACGACGGTAACGACCGTGACAACAGTGACAACGGTGAGAACCATGAATACAGTGAAAACTGTGACAACAGAGACAACGGTGAAAACACTGACAACGGTGACAACCATGACAACAGTGAAAACGGTGACACCAGTGGCAATGGTGACAACAGCGACAACGGTGAGAACAGTGACGACGGTGACCACGGTGACAATGGTGACAACAGCGACAACGGTGACAACAGTGACGACGGTGACAACCGTGACAAGAGTGACAACGGTGACAATGGTAACAACTGTGACAAAAGTGACAATGGTGACAACACAGACGATGGTGACAACGGTGACAAGAGTGACAACATTGACAACCATCACAAGGGTGACAACAGTGACAACAATGACAGCAGCGACAACAGTGACAACGGTGAAAACATTGACCACACTGATAACAGCGACAACGGTGACAACACTGACAATGGTGGTAACTGTGACAACAGTGACAACGGTGACAACAGTGATGACGCTGGCAACCGCGANAACAGTGATGACGGTGGCAACCGCGACAATGGTGACAACTGTGACAACAGTGACAACAGCGACAACGGTGACAATAGGGACAGCAGCGACAACAGTGAAAACAGCCACAATGGTGACAACAGTGACAATGGTGACAACATTGAAAACAGTGACAACAGTGACGACGGTCACAATGGTGACAACACTGACAACCGTAACAGCCGTGACAACGGTCACATCAGCGACAACAGTGACAATGTTGACAACAGGAACAAAGGTGACAACAGTGACGGCGGTGACAACAGTGACAACAGTAACAACGGTGACAACAGTGACGACGGTGGCAACTGTCACAACCGTGAGAACGGTGACAACAGTAATAAGGATGACAACAGCGACAATGGTGACAACACTGACAACAGCGACAACGGTGACAACAGTGACGACGGTGACAACCGTGACAACAGTGACAACGGTGACAACGGTGACAATGGTAACAACTGTGACAAAAGTGACAATGGTGACAACAGTGACAATACGGAGATAAGGGGCAACGGTGAAAACAGTGCCAACAGTGACAACAGTGCCAACAGTGACAACAGTTACAACGGTGACAATGGTGACAACAGGAACAATGGTGACAAAAGTGACAACAGCGACAATGGTTACAACAGTGACAACAGTCACAACAGTCACAACGGTGACAACAGTGACGACAGTGACAACATTGAAAACTGTGACAACAGTGAAGACGGTGACAACGGTGACAGCAGGGACAACAGTGACAATAGTGACGACGGTGGCAATGGTGACAACATTGAAAACGGTGACAACGGTGACGACAGCGACAATGGTGACAATGCTGACAACAGGGACATTGGTGACACTGGTGACAACAGGGACAACGGTGACCATAGTGACAACAGCAACAATGGCGACAACACTGACAACTTCGACAACGGTGACAACAGTGACGACGGTGACAACCGTTTCAACAGTGACAACAGTGACAACAACGACAATAGTGACAAAAGTGACGACTGTGACAACCTTGAGAACTGTGACAATAGTGACAACAGTGAAAACGATGACAACTGTGACAACAGTGACAATGGTGACAACAGAGATGACGGTGACAACCGTGACAACGGTGACAACAGTGACAATAGTGACAACGGTGACAACAACGACAATAATGACAACACTTACAACAGCAACAACAGTGACAACAGTTACAACGGTGACAACCGTGACAACGGTGAGAATAGTGACAAAAGTGACAACGGTGACAACAGTGACAATGTTGACAACAGTGACAACGGTGACAACGGTGACAATGGCGACAACAGGGACAACAGTGACAACTGTGACAACGGTGACAGCTGGAAAACAGTGACAATGGTAGTAAACAGACAACAGTGACAACCATGACAACAGCGACTACAGTAACAGCGGTCACAAATGCAACAATAGCGACAATGGTGACAACAGAGATAACACTGACAACGGTGACAACAGTGACGACGATGACAATTGTGTCAACAGTGACAACAGTAACTACAGTGACGACAGTGACAACCATTACAACAGTGACGACGGTGAGAACAGTGACAACAGGGACGACGGTGACAAACGTGACATTTGTGACAACGGTGACAACAGTGACAACCGTGACAATGGTAAAAACAGCGACAATGGTGAGAACACTGACAGCAGCGACAAGGGTGACACAAGTGACAACAGGGAGAATGGTGACAACAGTGACAACAGCGACAATGGTGACAACACTGACAACAGTGACAACAGTAATAACTGTGACAACTGTGACAACAGTCACAATGGTGACAACGGTGACAACAACGACAATGGTTAAAACACTAAGAACGGCGACAACGGTGACAACAGTGACGGTGGTGACCACAGTGACAACGGTGACAACTGTGACAACAGTGACAACAGTCACAAATGTGACGACTGTTGCAACCATCACAACGGTGACACTAGTGAAATTGGTGAGAACAGTGACAACGATGACAGCAAGAATGCTGACAACACTGACAACAGCGACAATGGTGACAACAGGGACAACGGTCACAATGGTGAAAACAGTGACAACTGTGAGAAGCGCGACGTTGCAAAAAGTGACAACGGTGACAACACTGACAACAGTGATAACGGTAACAACAGTGACAACAGTGACAACGGTGACCACATTGACCACACTGACAACAGTGAGAACGGTGACAACAGTGACAACCATGACAACAGCGACTACAGTGACAACGGTCACAACCGCAACAAAAGCGACAATGGTGACAACAAAGATAACGGTGACAAAAGTGACGACGGTGACAAGAGTGACATGGGGACAACGGTGAGAACAGCGACAATGGTTACAACGGTGACAACAGTCACGATGGTGACAACACTGACAACAGCGACAACGGTGACAATGGTGACAACAGGGACAACGGTGACCACGGTGACAAAAGTGACAACACCGACAATGGTGACAACGCTGACAACACTGACAACGGTCACAACCATGCCAACTGTGACATTGGTGACAACAGTGACGCACAGACAACGCTGACAACAGTGGCAAAGGTGACAACGGTGACAACAGTGACGACGGTGACAACCTTGACAACAGTGACATCGGTAACAATGGTGACAACAGTGACGACAGTGACAATGGTGAAAACAGTGACAACCCTGACAACGGTGACAACGGTGATAGCAGTGACAAGAGGGACAACGGTGACAAAAGTGACAAGGTTGAAAACAGTGACAATAGTGAGATAAGGGACAACGGTGACAACAGTGCCAACAGTGACAACGGTGACAACAGTGACAAAGGTGATAACTGCGACAAAAATGACAACAGTGACAACACTAACAACAGCGACAACGGTGGCAACAATGACAACACTGACAACCGCGACACAATGAGAATAGTGACAAAAGTGACAACGGTGACAACAGTGACAACAGTGACAACAGTGACAACAGTGGCAACGGTGACAACGCTGACAATGGTGACAACAGGGACAACGGTGACAACGGTGACAACATTAAAGACTGTGACAACAGCGACAACGGTGACAACAGGGACAACAGTGACAACAGTAAAAACAGCCACAATGGTGACAACAGTGACAACGGTGACAACAGTGACGACAGTGGCAACCGTGACAACAGTGACACCAGTGACAACGCTGCAAACAGTGACAATGGTGACAACAACGACAATGGTGACAACACTGACAAAAGGAACAACGGTAACAATAGTGACAACAGGAACAACGGTGACAAAAGTGACAACAGCGACAATGGTGACAACAGTGACGACGGTGACAACGGTGACAATAGTTACAAAGGTGACAACGGTGACAACGGTGACAATGGTGACAACAGTTTCAACGGTGACAGTGATAACAACAGCGACAACGGTGACAATGGTGACAACAGTGACGATGGTGACAACGGTGAAAATAGTGACAATGGTGACAAAGGTGACAACTGTGACAACAGTGACGACGGTGACAACAGCGACAATGGTGACAACAGTGACAACGGTGAGAATGGTGAGAACAGCGACAACGGTGACAAGTGACAATAGCGACAATAGTGACAACAGTGACAACGGTGAAAACATTGACCACACTGATAACAGCGACAACGGTGACAACACTGACAATGGTGGTAACTGTGACAACAGTGACAACGGTGACAACAGTGATGACGGTGGCAACCGCGACAATGGTGACAACTGTGACAACAGTGACAACAGCGACAACGGTGACAATAGGGACAGCAGCGACAACAGTGAAAACAGCCACAATGGTGACAACAGTGACAATGGTGACAACATTGAAAACAGTGACAACAGTGACGACGGTCACAACAGTGACAACACTGACAACAGTATCAACCGTGACAACGGTGACAATGGTGACAACGGTGACAGCAGTAAGAAGAGGAATAATGGTGACAACAGCGACAATGGTGACAACAGTGACAACGGTGACAACATTGACAACACTGACAACGGTGACAACAGTGACGGCGGTGACAACCTTGACAACAGTGACATCGGTAACAACGGTGACAACAGTGATGACGGTTACAATGGTGACAACAGTGACAACAGTGACAACCCTGACAACGGTGACAACAGTGATAGCAGTGACAAGAGGGACAACGGTGAGAAGAGCGACAAGGGTCAAAACTGTGACAATATGGAGATAAGGGACAACGGTGACAACAGTGCCAACAGTGACAACAGTGACAACAGTGACAACGGTGACAATGGTGACAACAGGAACAATGGTGACAAAAGTGACAACAGCGACAAAGGGTAACAACAGTGACAACAGTCACAACGGGACAACAGTGACGACGGTGACAACATTGAAAACTGTGACAACAGTGAGGACGGTGACAACGTGGACAAAAGTGACAACGGTGACAGCAGGGACAACAGTGACAATAGTGACGACGGTGGCAACGGTGACAACGGTGACAACATTGAAAACGGTGACCACAGTGACAACAGCGACAATGGTGACAACACTCACAACAGCGACAACGGTGACAACAGTGACAACCATGACAACAGCGACTACTTTGACAACGGTCACAAACGCAACAATAGCAACAATGGTGACAACAGAGATAACACTGACAACGGTGACAACAGTGACGACGATGACAACGGTGTCAACAGTGACAATGGTGACAACGGTGACAACAGTAACTACAGTGACGACGGTGACAACCGTGACAACAGTGATGATGGTGAGAACAGTGACAGCGGTGACAACGGTGACAACTGTGACAACAGTGAAAAAGGTGACAACAGTGACGACGGTGACAACACCGACAATGGTGACAACACTGACAACAGCGACAACGGTGAGTATGGTGACAACAGGGACAACGGTGACAGTGGTGACAACGGCGACAATGGTGTTAACACTGACAACCCCGAAAACGGTGACAACAGTGATGACGGTGACAACAGTAATAATGGTGACAACGGTGATGACAGTGACAATAGTGACAACGGTGACAACAGTGACGACAGTGGCAACCGTGACAACGGTGCCAGCAGTGACAACGGTGCAAGCAGTAACAATGGTGACAACAGCGACAATGGTGACAACACTGACAACAGGGACAACGGTGACGATGGTGACAACAGGAACAACGGTGACAAAAGTGACAACAGCGACAATGGTGACAACAGTGACAAAAGTGACAACGGTGACAACATTGACAACACTGACAACGGTGACAACAGTGACGACGGTGACAACTTTGACAACAGTGACATCGGTAACAACAGTGATACAGTGACGACGGTGACAATGGTGACAACAGTGATAACAGTGACAACCCTGACAAGGGTGACAACAGTGATAGCAGTGACAAGAGGGACAACGGTGAGAAGAGCGACAAGGGTCAAAACTGTGACAATATGGAGATAAGGGACAACGGTGACAACAGTGCCAACAGTGACAACAGTGACAACAGTGACAACGGTGACAATGGTGACAACAGGAACAATGGTGACAAAAGTGACAACAGCGACAAAGGGTAACAACAGTGACAACAGTCACAACGGGACAACAGTGACGACGGTGACAACATTGAAAACTGTGACAACAGTGAGGACGGTGACAACGTGGACAAAAGTGACAACGGTGACAGCAGGGACAACAGTGACAATAGTGACGACGGTGGCAACGGTGACAACGGTGACAACATTGAAAACGGTGACCACAGTGACAACAGCGACAATGGTGACAACACTCACAACAGCGACAACGGTGACAACAGTGACAACCATGACAACAGCGACTACTTTGACAACGGTCACAAACGCAACAATAGCAACAATGGTGACAACAGAGATAACACTGACAACGGTGACAACAGTGACGACGATGACAACGGTGTCAACAGTGACAATGGTGACAACGGTGACAACAGTAACTACAGTGACGACGGTGACAACCGTGACAACAGTGATGATGGTGAGAACAGTGACAGCGGTGACAACGGTGACAACTGTGACAACAGTGAAAAAGGTGACAACAGTGACGACGGTGACAACACCGACAATGGTGACAACACTGACAACAGCGACAACGGTGAGTATGGTGACAACAGGGACAACGGTGACAGTGGTGACAACGGCGACAATGGTGTTAACACTGACAACCCCGAAAACGGTGACAACAGTGATGACGGTGACAACAGTAATAATGGTGACAACGGTGATGACAGTGACAATAGTGACAACGGTGACAACAGTGACGACAGTGGCAACCGTGACAACGGTGACAGCAGTGACAACGGTGCAAGCAGTAACAATGGTGACAACAGCGACAATGGTGACAACACTGACAACAGGGACAACGGTGACGATGGTGACAACAGGAACAACGGTGACAAAAGTGACAACAGCGACAATGGTGACAACAGTGACAAAAGTGACAACGGTGACAACATTGACAACACTGACAACGGTGACAACAGTGACGACGGTGACAACTTTGACAACAGTGACATCGGTAACAACAGTGATACAGTGACGACGGTGACAATGGTGACAACAGTGATAACAGTGACAACCCTGACA